AGATCTTCCCTGTGTTGATTCACTCCCCAAGTGAGCACAACGGCCGATCAGAAGCCAGGATCCAGGAACTTCCTCCAGGTCTCCCACACAGGTGCAGGGTCCCAAGGCATTGGGCCGTCCTCTACTGCTTTCCCAGGCCACAAGCAGGGAGCTAGATGGGAAGTGGAGCTGCTGGGATTAGAACCGGCGCCCATATGGGATCCTGGCTTGTTCAAGGCGAGGACTTTAGCCACTAGACCATGCCGCCAGGCCCGAGATATTAGTTATTGATACAAGTGAATCTCAGAATACTGATAAGAAGTAAAAGATGTCGGATAGTCCTTAGAATGCACACGTACTAATCCATTTGTGTCAGTTTTTAGAAAATGCCAACTAATCCGGTGACAGAAAGGAGATGATTGGTAGCCTAGAGCCTGAAGTCCTTGCCTTGCATGCACTGGGATCCCATAAGGGCACTGGTTCCTATCCTGGCAGCTCCACTTCCCATCCAGCTCCCTGCCCGTGGCCTGGGAAAGCAACAGAGGCCGGTCCAGATCCTTGGCACCCTGAACCTGTGTGGGAGATCCAGAAGAAGCTCCTGACTCCTGGGTTTGGATCGGCTCAGCTTTGGCTGTTGCAGGTACTTGGGGAGTAAACCAGCAGATGGAAGATCTTTCTGTCTGTCCTTCTCTCTATAAATCTAACTTTCCAATAAAAATAAATAAATCTTTCAAAAACAAACCAACAAGGAACAGCATGACCCAACAAAACAAACATACACCAAGTGAACTAAGAGACTTAAGGAAGGGATGCTGGAAGCTAAGAAAAGCATTAAATAAAACAAAATTTTTAAATTATGAATGCTCCAAACCTACAAGCTGTGATTAGATTTTCATTGTTTCAGTGATGAGGGAAAAGAACAAGAGAATATCAAAATGCTTGTGACAAGTGGAACTAAAAATTGTTTATTCTGGAGACAAGTATTGTGGGGCAGTTGCCACTTGGCTCCCTGTAGCTCATACAGGAGCATCAGCTCAAGTCCTGGCTGCTCTACTTCCAATCCAGATTCCTGCTTTCACATCCTAAGAGTCAGCAGGTAATAGCTCATGTGCTTGGCTCCCTGCCATGTGGGAGACCTGGATGGAGGTCTGTGCTACTGGATTTTGTGTGGCTTGGCCCGGGCTGATACAGGCATTAGGGAGTGAACCAGCAAAAGAATGATTCATTCTTTTTTTTCTCTATCTTCCCCTCTTCCTGATCAAATTAAACACTTTGAAAAAATCAGTTTATTTTGATCAAAAAAAAATTCATGCAGTTTTATACAACACATATTTTTCATGAATTTTCTGAAGACTCCACATAAACATACTCATAAACATAAAATTACAGTAATAAACTTCCATTCTTAAGTAGGTACAACTTGTTATAAATCAAACATATGAGTTGCCATCTTGGCATCTCAAGATTGCACAGTCCTGATTTTTCTGGCCTATCAGGAACTCAACAGGAAACAAACCAGCATTGCTTCCTTTTGAGTCTTCGCCTTTCACATGAGATCTAGAAAATTATGTCAAGACTCCATAACACTTGGTATTACTGAAACACCTTCAGGATTGCTTTTTCTATAAAGCCAATCTCACAGAAAAATGCTTCCTTCCAAACTAAGAAGCAAAAACAGTATCCAGTACTTAAGGTCCAACTGCTATTTTGGAAGGTATTCCAGTCAAAGAACAAGGCATTGAACCACATTAGAGGTGGATTTTTAATGCTTTCCCTGTTAAAATTCATTTCTTATAGCTAGCAGTAACAAGCAATTGCCAGCAAAGCTGGAATAGGAAAATCAAATACTCTGCCTATTTACATACGGTTCCCCAAAGCCATTTCTGATTAAAAATTGTACCATTTCAATCTTCCTACTGGAACTATCTATTAACTCGAACTGTGTGTGAAAGCCATTGAATTTAGTATATAATTACACGTATCCTATACAAATTACTTCCCAATGACTTCTACACATGAAAATAAACCAAAGAGGGATGATTGGCTCATTATAAATCTACAAGAATTCCCTGGGAAAAGGTCCTGAGAGCAAAGTCCTGAAAGATCTTAAGCTTCAACTGAATTTAATTTCAACAGGAAGCAATCACTTTTGCATATGAACTGCCAGCGCAGTGACATGACCTGCTCCAGTGGTAAGCAACACTCTCCAACTTACATCCCTGCTCTTGTCACTCAGCAGTCACATGACCTTGGGCAATCCACTTCCTTTCCTCCCCTTTCAGTGTTTTCAAGTGTAAACTGACAGACTGGAAGTAGGCAATTTCGAAAGCTTCTTCCAGCTCTAACATTTCATCATTTCATATTTATAATCACAGGAGCAGACTTTCTATCATCTATTCTCTTGAGGCCACAAGAGCATCTCATTTACCTTTGGCATCCCGAAACGTCTAGAACAGACAATTGAACTTTCCTTACCAACCGCCAACGAAACGGTTCAAACAACACGGAAAATAATCCAATTCTCTTAGGCTTCAACTTTTTGTGACCCCCCTCCTCCTTCAGTCTTTCCAGTCCCCACCATGATTCTAACCAAAATGCCCTCTCTTCATGCTTGACCACAGTCCTGGCAAGATTGTAAGGGGGGGCCAGAGAACTGAATGCATCACTTGTCACTCAGAAGAAACCACCAGGAAAAAATGCACTCATCAGAAAACATCAGGGTACATGCTTTGTACGCCATCTGATCCAAAAACCACACACACAGCTAGAGCCCTAGAGAAAGTTTTCATTTCTCATAATAAGCTCGTGTAATACATTCCCATCATTTGAGAGTACGTTCTAGAAAGTTCTAACAAACTTGAAGGAGAAGAAAAGTTGAAAGGAAAAGGAAAACTATCAGAACGTGCAAGAAGGAGCAAGTAGGACATTCCCTTCACCTTTCAACAAAAGAAACATGTACAAAACCCAAATCTGCAAATTCAGCTACACTACGAGGATAGGAGCTACCTAAAACCGTGGCATTAATATCCTGAAGCCAAGTGTCTAGGTTTAAATGCTAGCTTTGCTAATTTTTACTGTGATTGTACAACCATTAACAAGGGAAGCACCTGTGCCTTGATTTCCTCATCCGTAGGCACTTCAATTCTATTTCATTTGCTGGGTGACTGTGTAAAATATAAAATGGGTTAGCCACGTACAATGTGTATAACAGTGCCTGGCGCCTAATAGCTGCTAATAAATGATAGCCTCTACTATTGTTATTATTAGATGGAGCTCTGCGACTGTCAGGGGTTAATAGAACAAAAGGATTTACAATGCCCTTATACATTTAAAATCTGCAATTTCCCCGTTGCAGGTGAGAACCGAAAGTATAAACATTCCTACATTTAATTTATACTTGTATACTTTATCAGTCTTGACTACTTTCAACCACAGAAACTATTCATTAAAAATCTAAATTCCTCTTGGAAAGATATTCTAGGTTTCAAAAACTACTCCCTTGCCCACAAGAAGAGAGTACAATAGGACTATTAACGGTAGGGCTGAGAGTTAAGTGGGAGCACAAAGGCACCTTTGTAGCAGCTTGTGCTATCACATACCACTGCTTCGGTTTCTGAGAGTGACCTTCTTTAGAAAGAACTTGACAAACTCCATTGTTCATTACATCGGAGTTCTTGGATGCGATAGTTCTTAAGTCCCTGGCAAAGCCGGATTGAAGATCAGAAGATCTCGGCTCTTTCCATTAGGACAGCACTGAATCCTTCAAGGGATTTTCTTAGGTCAGCATCTTTATTTGAGATGCCAAAGAAACAGGTGACATTTCCAACTGCTAAAGCGCTCCTTGTTGTAGGTGGAAGACATAAGGTAGAGTTAGAAAAGATGCAATCTATCCTGGAGAAATCTTGAAGTGTTGGGAATTACAAGAAATTTATGGAGCACCATGAGACCTTTTTTTAACCTTAAGTAGCTTTTCCAGATGTCGTTTTAATAAATAGTGACAACAATAACAAAAAAGTACTAACACTTTTATCAAATACCATCCAGCAACCAGACTTGTCAGAAAACATACGACCTCTAAACAAAGTTCCAGTTTGTTCTCTGGTAGGCTATCTAAAGCTCAGAATCTCCAAACATCTTTTAATAAAAACTGACAGAAGAAGTAACATTATGTTTAGCATTCATTTGTCAAATAATTAGGCAAAGAAGAAAGCAATGGTCATACTGTCCTCTGTATGTTCACCTGCCTTTTTTGTAATCCAATTCCGGGGTAAGGGGGAGGACCCTAAACACACAACAGAAGAGAGGAGGAACTTGTGGAAGGCCATAAAGCGCAGCCTGTGATCGGTTTCAAGTTTAGACCATGGCAGAATAAGTAAACCAGAACAACCCTCTCCAGTGTAAAACTGCAGAACTGGGAAGGGAGGACTACCGCATTTTCTGCACGTGGAGACTATCTGCTCCCATAAGCCAGCTCCACCGCTTCTGGCCAGGAGCGACAGCAGTCAAAATGGTATGAAGCCAAGAACAAGTCCATATTTGACAAATCACACCCATCAAGATGGTGAAGTCAACCATAATAAAATATTTTGGCAAGACTGGAAGTGTGCACCTGTGAGAACCGAGGAAGATTTGACAGATTTTTGTTTTCCCATCCCTTGATCAGCAAGTTAATTATAGCAGCCATACAATCTCCTCTGAGCTTTAGAGGAAGGCAGTTGGCTGTTAGGAAAGCAAGGAGCTGCTCTCCTGGGCATGGCAAAGACAAAATGACAGTAGTGCTTACCCGTGAAAAAACTCTGAGTACAGTGTAACAATGAGACATTGAGCCCAGCTGCATAGGAAAGAGGTATATTCGACGGATGTACTGATGAGACAAGCCTAAGAAAGGACACATCTCACACACATACACACACACAAACCTGCATGCATTCACTCATGCATATGCTGGTATATGCTTCCAGAGCTTAAACCACTTTGGTCATGACACATGCAAGGCTGCTTTTGCCCAGGGTAGACTGTACCTTCACAGCTGTAGTTGTACACTGCCACCGCTGACCTGTCCACCAAATTGTCATCATGATGCCAGCTCACTGCCATCTTCCCCATGCCAAAATAAGGCTCCTCCTTCAGGTAAGGCATTTTCTGTGGATCCATGAAATTCAGTAAAGTCAAGTTGTACGCTGCTCTGCTCTTCATGTCCACTTCATCTTGGCCATCATCAGATGACCCCAGGCCCATCCTGGGGAATTCTGATATGCACAATGGCACGACATCTTCATTCTCCTTCTCTCTGATGGCCAGTTCCTCCAAAGCCTGAATGGTTTCGATTTGCAGATAATCATTGAGCTTGAGGAAGGTTTGACAAGCAGCGCTTATTTCTGCATCAGTGTAGTTTACAGTAGAATCCGTCACCGGCCAGGGTACTGTGAACAGCCTGGTGTTCAGGTACTTGTAGGTGTGGCCTGGATCACCAATGAGGATGCGAGAGACTGGAGTGAGTATATCTTTGCCTTGGATCCTCACCAGGTCCCGAAATAAGCAGCCATGCTTGTGTAGCGCGAGAAAGGCTTCCTGGACTTCTTTATGGAGCTCCTCGGGCATGCTGCCGCCTTCCCGGAAAACTAGTTTGGGGTATTTCAGCTGCCACTAGAACAAAATCAAAACAAAGATACATGTTTATGAAGAGCTGCAATTTTATTAGCTCCAAAGGTGTGAGTTTTTGTAAGCTGCGGTGGCGGGAGGTGGGAGTTGGACTATCCAACAACATTTCTGGATGGGATTCTTATCTCCCTATCCTAAAGGAGAAGACTAAACAAATAAATGGCACAAAGTTCCCAAGTCAAGATTTTCAAGTTCAAGTTGAACTATTAACAATGCATAGTATACAGAAGAATCAATAATACCTTGGAAACTGCTCTCCCAGTCTTCCTCTATGACCATATTGCCCCAACCACCGTCTCTCTCTTAGCCTTTTGCCTACCACCTATTTCCCTACTGTATACCAGGTATGGTTCTAAATGATTTATGTGAGGCTAGTGTTGTGGCATAGAAGGTAAGGCCGCTGTCTGCAGCAGTGGCATCCTATATGAGCATCATTTTGAGTTCTGGCTGCTCTACTTCTAATCTAGCTCCCTGCTAATGTGCCTGGGAAAGCAGTGGAAGATGGCTCAAGTGTTGGGACTCCTGAACCCACATGAAAGACCCAGAGAAAGTTCCTGGCTCCCAGCTTTAGACTGGTCCAGCTCTGACTATTGTGGCCATTTGGGAAGTGAACCAGTGATGGAAGATTGATATCTTTCTCTCTCTCTCTCTCTCTTTTTCTCTCTCTTTCTCTTTGCCTTTCTCCCTCTGTCTGTAATTCTGCCTTTCAAATAAATCAGTACATATTTTTAAAAATAATGATTTATGTGTATTAATTCATTTAACACAACTTCATCCATAGTAATATTTCCAGTTTAGTGACTGGACTACTGAAGCACAGTTTTAAAACTTGCCCAGAGTCTGGCACAGTAACCTAGTGACTAAAGTCCTCGCTTTACATGCACGAGGATCACTTACAGGTATGGGTTCTGAATCTGGCATCTCCACTTCCCATTCGGCTCCCTGCTTGTGGCCTGGGAAAGCAGCAGAGGACAACCCAAAGGCTTAGGACTCTGCATCCACGTGGGATACCTGTAAAAAACTCCTGACTCCTGGTTTCAGATCAGCTCATTTCTAACCATCATGGCCACTAGGGGAGTGAATTAGTGGATGGAAGTTCTTCCTCTCCATCTTTTCCTTTCTATATATCTGACTTTCCAAGAAAAAATAAATGAAATCTAAAAAAAAAAAAAAAAAAACCAACTTGCCCAAAATCACACAACTAAACAAAGCTAGAATTTGAAGCCACTGCACTCCAAAATCTAGTTGGATCTAGAATGAGATTTCTAGATTGCCCTGTCTCTGAATAAATGACCAAGTTTCGACCTCAACACCTTTACTGGAAGAAAACTCACTTCTCTCTTAAAATCAGCTTAGACACTAAGATCCATGAACAGAGAGGAAGCATAACAATTTTGTCCGTGACCATAATTCTAGTGCCCAGAATACACTCAGTAAATGTTGGCTGTTTCATACAATGGATAAATGGGTATATGGGTGGATAGGTGGGTGGATAGAAGTATAGATGGGAGTTTGGATGAATGGATGGGTGGTGGGTGAGTTAATAAATGGATGGATGGATGGATGGATGGATGGGTGGGTCCGGTGGGTGGACAGATGAGACACTGTTATAAATCCAGAAGGCTGGAATGATTCTCCTGGTGTGATTAGACACTGATGCAGCAGAGGTCTGCTGCCACTCTGACTTCTCAGGACTTAATATATGAATTGATGTCAAGACACAATAACCTGGTTCTGCACAGAATGGCAAAAAAAAAAAAACCCACAGCATAAGAGTTTACATTTACTCCTATCAAATTTAATACGATTTGTCTCCTCAGCTTTATGCTGTGACCTAAAGGAAGGAACTGGATAGAACAATATGTCAACCTGGCTTCCTCTGATCATGGTTATTTTTCAATAATTACCATTTATATGATGAACAGGCCTTGGTCATTGATTCTCTCATGTATCTTTCCCCCTCAACATCTGTTTATTGAACACTTATCAAAGATCACAGAGAGAGAAACAAGGTGCCTTGCCTCAGAGAGCTATCTACTAAGTCAAGTAAGGAAAAGCAATTCCTAAATGTGCTAAACAGTAGGACAAAAATAAATCAGTAGGCAGGACTCGGGCAGGAGATGACATTTAAGCAGGAGCTTCAGGAAAAGAAGCCAGCAGCCAGCCATGTGACGAGCTAGACAAAGTGGTTTCCCAGGAGGAGAAATAAAAAATGAAATGCAGTAAGGAAAGATATCAGCCTGTTCCAGCACCCAGACCCCAAAGGCCAGGATGACACATGATGAGGGTGAAGAGGACGGCAGAGGGTGAAACCCAGAGCCTTGGGTGTCACAGGAAGGAGCCTGGAATTGAATCTAACCACACTGGAAGATTTCAAAAGGAGAAGAATAGTTTGATTTACATTTTATGAATATTACTCTTACTTATAAGACTGAGCATGGATTACAATGAGACAAATGTGAATGAGGAAAGTACTATTAAAGGCTATTGTAACTGTCCAAGGAAAAAGCAATAATATCCTGGATGGAGGCAGAAAAAGGTAAGTGGCCCCCAAAAGTACATATTTTATAGGGAGAACAAAAGGATGTGCTTATGGAATATATGTGAGAGAGGACATAAGTTAACGATGACCCCATATTTCTGGATTTCATAACTGAATAAACACAACTCCTTTTTTTGGGGGGTGGGGGAGAAGTGATATAAAGAAGATGGGGCAGAACAAGGAACAGCAGAGAAGGGAGAAGGGAGTAGGGAAAAACGAAGAATTCTATCACAGAGCTATAGCCGTTAAAAAACCTGTGAAATCTCCAGATAAAAAGAGAAAGGAGTAACTGGATATACACAGCTTAAAAATGAAAACAGGCCTAGGGAACTGGAGGGGGAGTTGTGATTTTCAAATGCCTAGAAATGGACAAGCTCACCTAGGAAGACAATGCAAATACACAAGGGGACTAAAGCTAGTTCCCCAGTGCTCAAAGAAGCCTCAGGAAAGAAAGCCCAGTAGAAAATCAGAGGGGTGCATTAAAGCATAAGCTACAAAGAAAGCCTAAGAAAAGAGTATTTCAAGAAGAATGAGCAGTCAATTACAGCAGCTGCCACTAAGGTCACGTGAGATAAGGACAGGGATCAGCCACTAGATTTGTGAGCATGCAAATCTCTGATGACAGTGACAGAGTGGCCAGGATGGGAGTCAGACTTCAGCTGAAAAACAAAAGGGGGAAAGGGAATGGAGCTGCCACGTACAGATGCCTCCGAGTACTCATGCTAGGAAGGGGAATGGGAAAACGTAGCTGTCCATACAGAAGAATCCTAGCTGAAGGGACGCTCTTTAATGATGGAAGACATTGGAGTACATGAGAATTTGTCAGCACACTCGTGGGAACAAGATGAGAGGAAGAAGTTGATGATGCAGAAAAGCAGGTGTATAAATAAAGGCACCGAGTCCCTGAGTGCCCATAGCAGCACTCTCCCAAGTGAGGCATGCAGGGATTTGTTAGGCAGTCCATTAGAGTTGGCCTGGGGCTGGGAATGAAGGTGGGGGTGGATCTGAGGGTAGGCGAAAGTACAAGTATCTTATTTTTAATCTAAAAGAAGTAAATCAAACTCCACTAAAATATGTACATATACCAATGAAAATATATACATGGTTAGTATGAGAAGTTCTAAAACAGACATAAGTACCACTTAGGTATTTACATCTATACAAATAACTACGGTATGTGCTGGAATCTCTTTGTATCTGCTCATGGGAGCCTACTGTATACATCTCTTCCCAAGTTCACATTCGGGAATACCAAGCTGGCAGCCTGAAATATTTACACTGCAGAAATCAAGGAACTAAACATCAGAGCTGAGGTTTTTTTTTCCCCTTGAGAGCTAGTTGTTGAACACTTAGGAAACTCTATTATATGTGCTTAAGATTTTTACTGACAAGAGTACGTAATCAAAAATATTTGGACATGTGGAATAAGTTGAAAGGCGAAAAACCTAAATTCAGATAGAGTGCTAAATCTCACGAGGGGCAGATGAGTAAGTACCATGGCTTTTCTTTTTGTTTGTTCATTTGTTTGTTTCATGGTTGGGGAGCACTTCCATTTTCTCAGTGAAGTGCAAAGTGAATCAGTAGCTAGGAATGTGTGCTAGTCATTGGAGTTCTTTGCAAAACAGCTCCACATTCTTCCCTTACCACCCAGGTTTCTGTGGCCCAATTACACTTCCTAGTTGTCTCATGACAGAAAGAGCATGTGAGAATTTTTGTTCAGTGAAAAGTGATGGCTGGTGCTCCTATCCCAGAATACCTAGTAGCCAGTGTTAAGACCCTGTGGTACACTGTTTCCTGTTGGTACAGTGACCAGCTGATGGCTGCCCAGATCCTCTGAATTACTTCAATGGGCGATTCTCTGCCAACCCACAAATGGTATGCAAAACAAAGAAGAAATATTGCTGTGCAAAAACTCTGGCTGATCCAAAGGGTAGAAACTGGAAGAGGTGTAGGAAATGCGACTAAGTGCATAAGAGAAAAATGAATTAGTCAAGTCTGAAGGTGAGAAAATGAGTTCACTATACAGGCATCATAGCACTGTCCTGCTGCTCAGAGTACCTATCTGAGGCGTGTGATCATGAACTTAGGGAGACAAAGGGCAGAGCCATGCGGCACGCAATCGTAGACCACCACTGAGACCAGCAGAGGCCCATGAAGGACCTGGAACTGTGCCTACTAATTCCATCCCAAATACAGTACAAAATGGTAGTGCCATAGGTTCACTTTATACCACCCATGAAGACAGCAGTGCAGTCCCATAAGTGGAGACCAAACACCTGCTAGTCAGAAGCAGTGTGTGATGATTACCTGATCACCAAGGCCCTGAGGCATCAGGGTGCCCAATGTAGATAGACATTTCCCACGCATTTTCTTAAAATCCTGCTGTTCTTTAAGAGGTCTTTAGTATAAAACATTAAGGAAAACTGAAACATGAACTTCTTTT